TTTGTGCTTTATTTTGTTCTTCAGGGATTCTTGAAGAACACATTACTGGAGTTTGGATCTGCACAAACTATGCAAACCAAGGCAAGAGATGGGCTTCTAAATGGGCTTCTAAAAATGTCTAAAAGATGCTGACCTAGCAGAGGGCCTTGGTCCTGCAGTCAGGTTTCTGTGAGTTCTGGTGCAGCTGCACTTGGACTTGTGCACGTGGCAAACTTGCCTGCATATGTGGGGTGAAGCTTTTTAATACTTCTGCTTCAACAACTTTTTTAAAAACAGATGTGTTTGGTTTTATGGATATGCAAAACTCTATCCAGTGTGAGTTCCTTCAGAAGAGACCAGCTCAGGCAGATTGGGTGGGATAATAGTTATGATCTAGTTTCTGAAGGCATGCCTGTTTTCTGCCGTCAATACCTAGTAACAACCTTTTGTGTTCTTCCACTTAAAAATCCAAACTGTGTATAGACTGACTCTAAATCTTACCCTCGGTGCTGACGAGCAGAGCTCTGCGGTACATCGTGGGGCTCATCTGCATTTGCCACACAACACAGAGTGGAAGGCCACCTTATGAAAGGAGATTCAGTAGCTTTTATTACTGCCATACTCTTCTTTCCTGTGTTCCTCCTTTGGTAATACAAAATGGTCGCTTCCTCTGCAGATGAGCTGGTTTCCACCAGGGGTTGGGGTAAGGGGGAGGTGGGGGGAATGTGTTAAAATTCAGTCTTTACTATTCATTTCTAATATAAAGATTCATTTTGAAATACCAGGTGGCTAATATCCCTTGTAGCTGAATGCAGTCAATGCTCGTTTACATGTCATTTTAACTGCTTCTCTGCTAATATGTTCCCCAGTTTTTAATGAAGCCAAAAAATTGTGATTTTAATCCTCCATGTTCTAATTTCTTATGTAGGTTGACAATTTAATCTCTCGAGGTAGAAGTTAAAGCAGTTGATGCTTCTCCCAAAAGGCCTCCTTCAGTCACATCTGTCTTGCTTTCTTGGAAGTTGTCATATGGTCCTCATATTGATTGCAGAGGAGGGGGAAAAAGTATAGTTATACCCAGGTGCATTTGGTTACATCACTTTTTTTTCCAGAACAGATCTTGATTCAGTAGTGAATTTAGCCATAAATGTTATTTATAGTACATGCTGAAGCTTAAATAAAATGGTATGTAGAAATAAGGCACAACTGGCATTTGTGGGAAGTAGTGGTATGCAACTTTTGAAAATGAGACAACCCATTGTTATATTTTTCAATAATTTGGCTTCAGATAGTGTCTTAGAGGATTTAGTTTTTATTTCTTATCATTATATTTAACATTCAGGTATTTATTTCCTCTGTGTAGATGTTTGTTTTAGCTGGTGTTGTTTTTAAAAATCTAGTTGATGTTTCCTTAAGCTCCTTTTTTTGTTGTTGTTAATTACCAGTCCTAAGAAAATAGGCAACATCAAAGCCTTCTGTTCACTATCCACTTAAAACTGTGAATGTGTAAATGTACAACAGGCTTATGCTGATTTCATATTCTTTTTTAAAGTATGAAAGCTCAATTATTTTCTTTCAAAGGTGTTTTTAAAACAAAGACATTTTCTATTCTTTGTTCTAATGATTTTTGCATCGAATATACAGCTGGGAAGTAGCTCAGCACATGGCAAAAGAAGTTGTAAAAGGGAAGGATCTTTTATTGTTACATCTGCAAAGCAGTGAAAATGTAGATACACATACCACAAAAATATGCTGCCATAGCTATTACAACTAGCTTTGCATTAAGCTAAAGTAGTGCTAGAGGCTATGTCTTCTTATACGCTTAGGGAGGCTAACTTTTTTTTTTTTTTTTTGCAAAAATTAAATTGGGACTCAGTGAACAGCAGGAAGGAAGGAAGGAAGTAGGGCAGATCCCAGTCCACCTGTGCACGCAATGTCTGTATCCACTTCTAGGAAACTTTTCAATCCTCAGCTGTTCTGTTCAAGTGAACAATTGCTGTATTTTGCATAGTGTAGTGTTCCTCTGATCGTGGACAGCCATGCTCGCACCAGGAGAAAGTTTGGTTTTGAGGCTATATCATTTCATTTGACTTAAAAATCAGGAAAACAGTTTCAGGATGCATGACTCTGTGTAGTCATAGTAGTTAACACTCCTGCCTCTCCCCAGTCCTCTCCTGTATATGAGAGAACAGTTATTTAGGTACAGTAAAACTGCAGCTGCATGTATGCTACTGATAACACTTCCTTTTTGTTGGAAAGGAAGGAAAAACTCCCTGCATAGCATTTTGTGGGGGAAAAAAGCTAATTTAGATATTTGAAATGTGAATGCCTTGTAATTTCTAAGGGCAGTCATTTGATGTTTTAAACCTTTGTGCTAACAGAAAGCTTGATGAGATAATGACTTGCTATAATAACCTTTTGGAGTCAAAATCATGGCTTTAATTATAGCTTGGCTCACGTGCAAACGACTTTACTGCCTTCTAGACTCTGACAGGCATTTGTCTGTGTTACCAGTCAGCTATCAGGTTTGGCACAACTGACTCTGATCAAGAGGCATTTGAGTAATACCAGAAACGTTTAGAGAGGAGGATTAAGGGACGTGGGAAGTCCCTACTCTGCTTTACTGCAATGGTTTTGTTTTCTTTTCATCATCTCTTTTGTTTCTAAATGGGGGGGGGTAGAAATCTGCCACTCTTGCCTTGGCTGGCTTTGATTAGCACTTCTCTGGTGGAAGTCAGATGAGTAGACAGACTGCAGCAGTCTTGACACAGCTTCACTGAGCTGAAAGTTTTGGGGCTAAATTAACTTCCTGCTCTGTACAAAAAAGGTGGATACATTTTGTTTCACAAGAAAAGAGCTGGGAAAGGAGGGAGAAAACCTCCCCATAATTTCACCTTGCCCAAATCTCTTGGCAGGGTAATACTGAGAATGAAACAAGGGTCATGGGGACAGGTCGCTCCAGTGCCAGATCGTATTTTGCTGAAGCAATCACATTCCTCAAGGAATTGGTAACACTTTCTGGACATTCCCCTGGTTTGCAGTAGTGGAGGCTTGAAGGAATCAGGTTTGAGGCATGGGTAGAAAAGAAAGCAGAAAGGTAACTTGTGATGATATAACCAGACTTGCGCTTTTCACCTCAAATGTCATGAGCGTGTTTGAAAACTGGAGGGAAACCCCATAGCCCTCAGGCCTCCCAGTAATCTTTAGTCTGTGCCTTGCTCCCAGCCCCAGGTGAAGAAAATACATCTCTGACAATCTAGAGCAACAGGGTTAGCAGTGATGCTGTGAGCAGTTCATTTCTGAGCCATGCCCTCATTTTGGAGCTGGTGCCACCTTCCATAAGAGGGGAGGACTGTTACGCCCGCAAGATTTATTTTCGTGTTTTCAGACTTTCTAGGGCCATTTCAGTCTGTGTTCCTCTCTACCGCTAATGGTAAATTGGATAAGATCTGGCCCTTGGCCTGCTTCCCCTCACTGAGGTGTATGGATTGGTGTTGCCTTGTAAGGTTCATCTAGCTATGAAGAGAAGAGAGCAGGTGCTAGACTTCTGGCAAGTTAAAGGTTCCTGTTTTGTTTTTTTTAAAAAGAGAAACCCCTCACACACTGGGTTTCCACTGTGTTCTACAGTATGAGAGAGACTGTGATGAACTCAAGAGCAGGATGCACAGAGATCTGAGTGGATAGATTCCCGCTCACATAGTGGCCCTAAACTCAAAACCTTCTGGTATGCTAAGCTACATTGCAGTTGTAGTTCATGCAGGTTTTATATGAATAATTCTGAGTTATTGTTTTATCTCCATATGTATTCAAAAATAAATTCTATTTTTTCCTTTCCCTTTTTCTCTTCCCAAGCAAATATAATTAGGAATATAGGCCTAATCCTGCTATTTGAACTCAGGGTGAGCAGAATTTGGGACTTGATAGTATAAGCACAGCTGACGAATCTGCATTTTTGTTCTGTGGTGGCTTTTTTCCAGCTGCTTGATATTACTCGATGATAAATGTCCCTTAAAGTCAGGGGCTTTTCCATTCTGATGTTAAAAGGAACTTCTCTAATGATATTTTTGCTTTCATGAAGAAGCTGTATTTTACAGATGTGGCCATTGTAAATTCCAGTGAATATTTATTTTTCTACCCGTACACGTAATTGGTCTTCTATGTGCAGTAAATATGCATCTACATGTAAAGATGTTAATTTTTTAAATTGTTCAAGATGCGCTGTGCAAGTTGAGTAGCTTCCAAGCTCAGTGAAAATGACTGTAGATGAAACAGCTTGCAGGCATTCATACAGCTTCCCCTGCAGGGCTCCCAGTAACACTCAGTTCCTTTGTTTGATTGTTTCAAAATTAATTTTGATGGTGAAAACAATTATATAAAGGCCACTTGCTATAGAGAAAACAGTAATAAAACTATTTATTGAATTTTTACATCAGGAATTAGAGTAGGTTAAAGTAGAATTATGAAAGATGCTGTTTTTTAACAATGCTGTTCAGTCACCACTGGAAATTTGTTATTTGGACTCCCTGTGTAAAGTAACAAACTATGACGTTCAGGTGCTCATCAAATGGTATTAATAGCCATTTTAGTAATGGTCATTTTACAGCACTCCTACTGTTCCCCTCAGACTCCCTTTCCAGCCTAGAGCTTAGAACCATTGGGGTCTCTGTGTAAGTAGAGACAAAAGTAACTTGACTGCATTGTGTCTGCTCACTACGGAAGGACATCTCACTAATCTTTAGACATGAGTACTTTTATATCAGACTCCATACTTTCATTATCTAAGGATGCTGTTAATTATACTACATATTGAAAGGCGTGAATGTAAGTGCTGAGTGTGGGATTGTAAGAACCCCAGTGAAAAGTAATTGTGATTTTCTACAGGTTTGGTTGAAGTTCCTATTTAAAAGAGTGTGTATGCAAGCCACTGCAAAGCTATCACTCTGCTAACATCGGCCGGACACAAGGATTCATGTTTTATAGATGGAAACAGGATTGCTAAAGATTGATATATTTCATTGCAGATGTGACGAATATGTCACACAGCTGGATGAAATGCAGCGGCAGCTTGCAGCAGCTGAGGATGAGAAGAAGACTCTGAACTCCTTGCTTCGGATGGCTATCCAGCAGAAACTGGCACTGACCCAGCGCCTGGAACACTTGGAGCTAGACCACGAGCAGTCCAAAAGGGTGCGCACAAAATCTGCTTCCAAAGCCAAGAGCAGTAACCCTACTGTAAGTCATATTCGGTCCTGTGGAGACAGGTCTGAAGGATCTGTCCTTAACAACCAGGTTTTTTGTAGCGAGAAATATAAAATCTATTGTGACTAGGACAGGTATGTAGAAGAATAATATTATGCATCGTATTCTATGCTGTAACTGTCAGCGTAAATCCCCACTATCTAATGTCGCAGTGAGTTGACTTGTACTAGTATGTTGTTGAACCAGGTAATACAAATTGTATTATGGTGGTCTTAACTGTAACTAATTCATAAATATGGGGATGCTATTAACAAGTTAATGGTGAAAAGGAATTAGCTTTTTCCACAATTAACATGTATGGGTTTTGCTGTTTATGGTAAGTGTTAAAAGAGTACACCTGATAGAGTATATCTGGTGCTACTAACTGTAGTTTGTATAGCACAAATGTGATCCTTTCTCCAGGGTTGCAGCATACTTCAATAAATGCTTTCACAGGCAGAAACAAACAGAAAACCTTCCTTGTTATTGTGGCTTAAGAAGTGGTGAAAAGCAAATGTTAAAATGAGAGGTATGTCTTGAAAATGCAGAGCATTTTGAAACTGGAACCAAAATTAATTTGCCTATTGTGGCAGATGTTAAGAATTTGCTGTCATATCACCACTGACCAAAGTCCTAAAGCTTTTATAGGCTATAAAAGCTAGAAAAAAAACATGGTAGGGTACATTATTTACACTCTGCTTCCCTCTCTTCAGAGGGTTAACCAGAAGAAACTTGCACATTTATATTAAAAATATGCAATATTTACCCCATCTGATATAAAACTTAAAATTTTAAGAATTGGGATCCTACCTGGTAGACAGTTCCACTTTAAGAAGTTATGCTGTGGAAAAGTGTCATGTCCTGAAGGGATCTTTGTGGTCTCACATTGTTCCTTGCAAGCATAACACTTTGGAAAGAATCTGTTTTATATATTACTGTAGCCACAGAACATATATGTGTAGAATTAATGTGACTATGGTCTAGTATTGTCAGTCACAAAACAGTTTTTTTCAGCTTTCAGTATTAAACTAAATAGGATAGTATGTCAGAGCTCTGATCTTTTTTTTTAAATACACAAAAGATATTGCATTCCTTATGCAAGCACATGTTTCACAGGGCTCTACATTATAGGCACAGGAAATTGAACTAGATCATCCTGCTAATAATTATTTATGAAGTAGCTTAGCATGCATATTAATCTTTAAAAACAAATAAACCTTTGTCTGCTATTGAACTTTTAAGGGGCCTTTTTAGCCACTTAATTACAATATGTTTGATAATATAAAAGTGTACTTCATAATTGGTGCCTACATAAGAGAAAAAGATTGAAAATGTTGCTTCTAAAATTGTGGAAAACTTGTGGAGCACAACAAGGCACGCTTTTTTCTTTAAACCAGAGTTTTAAAGTGCCTAGCCTCAAACTTTATTTTAATGTAAAGCCCTGTTCATTTTGTAATCTTTCAAGTAATTTTGTATGCCTATAGTATTACTAAAAGCAATGCGAGACTGCACAGTTGTCTGCTTGATAGTGGTGTTTTATAAAGCCATTCTAATATTCCTGGTGTGGTACTGCCTCATCTCACTACCATTTCTTATAGATGATCAGCAGCTTGCTTCCTGTGCATTGCCGCTCTGCCTATAAGTAGTCAGGAGATATCACAGTACTAATATAAGGTAATAAGGAGCACAGCTTGTTTTCCCAGTGAGGGGAAACCACATGGGATTTTGGCTTCCCAGATATTAGGGGTGGCGGGGAAAAGACTTCTAAATTCGTACAATGAGACTTTAAACAAATGGAATTGTAGAAACCTTGCTACAAAGCTGGGAAACATCAGAATGCCACAGTCCAATGCCAGAATTGCATTTACCAATATTGAGAGGAGGGAAAAAACCCCAAGTGATTTAAGTCTAATATGTTGCTTAAACATCACTGCTTAAGAAGTTTAAACAAATAGGAATTCTGGCTTTAGAAACTAGGCCCTGTGCGTCTATTATTACTTTTTTTTAGAAAACACTGAATTCTCCTGAATTTGAGCTTTAATATTGCTAAATAGCAGGTTTGATATTTTAGAAGCAAGACATCTTTTAACAATTTTCAATCCTGCTTTTCTCTTCTTTGCTGCACAATCTTCCAAAAGGCCTTTATTCTTCTCATTCCTGCATTAAGTGTAATTTAAAAATACTTTGTAAAAGCAGGCATTTGAGTGCTAACTTTCTTTGCTCCAATAGAAACAGTTAAAATTTTGCTTCCGCTATGGTAGGGAGCTTTAATACAGTTTTCACTGCTTCCATGTCTCTAATGGCAGTATTTTTGCAAAATACTAATGGCAAATTGGAGAAACTGATTAATGCATTGTTAGGTTTTTTCAAATTAACTGGAACTTTCTATAAAGATTTCAGTGTTACCAGACAGTGACTATTACTATCAGTCTTGGCTCACACTTTCAGTTCCAAGTATGAACAATTTTGCTATTAGCCCGATAGTCTTACTAGTCATTTCCATCTTCATTCATTTCTGTGGATCTTTAAAAAACAGAGAAGCCAAGAAACCTGACTGCTATTTGAACTTGTCAAGGTTATGGTTTAACTTCTTTTAGCACCTGTTATAAAAAGAAATGAGGCATGGTGGTAAGGTGACTTGATCATGCTGTTTGTATTTTTAGATAATATTTCAGACTGTCTTGTAATTCTTGATTAACAATTTCTTGAAACGTACATTTGCTGTAAGTCTTTCATATCACTTTCAGTGGGTTGGGATAAAGCATGGAAAATTTCTTAAGCCATCACCTACCTCTGCAAGCAGGCTCTTCTTTTGAATGATATTCTCTGCATTGGCCTGCATGATATACTGACCTGCATGTTTCTGGAGAACTTAAAGCTTCACTGAAAATGTTTCTTGCACATTCATTGCTGTTAACCTGTGCTTGAACAGCAAAGCTTTATTCAGTACTTGTAAGAAACCTTCTTTCTGCAAAGCTATTGCTTCCAGGTTAAACCCATAAAGCATTGTTTCATCAGCTTGGAAAGCATCTGCGAGCTAAAATGGCTGCTTCTACCCCAGCAAGCTAACAGACACCCTCAACCAACTAACCTGCTTTTGCAGCACATTGTTTTAAGTTTTCAGTTCTTTAATTGAGAAATAAACGCTTTTTTTTTTTTTTTTTTTTGTCTTTCTTCTAATGCTATTTTATTTTTCCATTTTTCAGCTGTAGAGTAGTCCCTGGAGAAGGCCTTTCCAACAGTGCAACAGCATTTCTTAGCCTCTTTCATTATGGTTAAAAGTGGTAGCCCATTGCACAAAGAATGGAAACCACTGACCTGATCCTAACTTTTGAAAACACCTTTTCCTATATACTACCTGAAACTTTCCTTTTATGTCTGAAGCTATAAAACAAACAAGCTTTACCTGTAAGTGCTGCTGCAGTAAGAAAACTTACAAGTGCTGAAGAAACCTACTTCAAATGTAATGATCAGCATACTAGTTTATGATCTACTAGAAATGTTCGGATGGGGGAATTTCTTATTTCATTGCAGATGCTCATTTTTTATCTGATTGTTAAACCTGTGCACTTTTGATATTTTGATATTTTTCTTTAGCTTCTTTAATTCCTTATGTAGAAGAGTTTATATAAATGCAGTGGTTTGTGCTCATAGTCTCTCTCCAATTTGGGCTTGTGACTTTTGAATTCTACATCAGCATGTGGCAGAGATTTTTGGGGGGCTCTAGATTGTGATTAGAAAAGAGTTTCAAGAAAAAACAGGAGCTCTGCTGTGTGGCTTCAGCAGCTTTTTTATTATTATAAGATGTTAAGCTTTATATGTTTAAAATACTGATTTTTTTTTTTTTTTTTTTTTTTTTTTCAACTGCCATGTTCATTAAGAAATCCAGGGTATTCAAATTCTGGGGTTTTTTTCATATTGTATTATTATTCTTAGGAATAGTTCAATGTAACAAGAAGAAAACTTGACTTTGCTCTGGTTAAAACAGTAATAGGCACTTGAAAAATATTAAATAAGTAGTATTACCTATAAATTCCAGAATTCCTGGGTTTTAGGAAGTTGAAGTATTATTGATTAACAGAATTTTATACAACTATACCAGTTAAATTCCAAATTGGAATTGTTTTGTTACTTTTTCATTTTATTGTGCCAAATTATGGTACATTTAGAAAGAAAAATTCTAAAGTTGTCAATGATAGGGTGTTATATATCAGCGCCTTTCTGTCGTTAATTATTGCCAGTAGTGCCTTTAATAATTTTAAGGGAGACTCTTAGAATAGCTTAGTCTAAGTCCTGTAACTTAGGAGAAACGGAATAGCTGTTTTGGAATTTAGTAAAGACGTGGAGCAATAAGTGCAAAGTGAACTCCCCTTTCGCACATTTTTAATGGGTAGTCTTACTATAGAGATTATATATTCAAGGAATTGTAAAAAATTCTGTTAGTCAATGATATTTCATAATGCAAATCCTTGCAAATTCAGGGGTATAGAGGAAAAAAAAGCAAACCTAAACAAACCCGAATACACTTTGGGAACCAAATGGACTCATGTTGAACAAATGAGCAAGATGTATTAACACATTTGTGGTAACAGTACAGAGGACGTGTCAGGAATATTGATGTTATGTTAGCTTTGTATGGTGGTGGATGCAGTTAACCATAGTATTGTTTGCAAATGTGAACAACAAAACATTGGTATCTTCTCTTGCATGTTGTATCTAATCATTGTAATTTCAGGAAACAGAAACGGAGAAGTGCATCAACAAGCTGTACTAATCTCTACTGTTTGTTGAGGCTCACATGAATGATTAAATTGGTACTTGTTGGGGGGGAGCCTTCCCACTCCTCAAAAAAAGTACAAATTGAGATAATATTGACAGTGGGGAAAAGATTTCTGTTTGCTGGAAAAAAACATTATTATTCCTAGATGTGGGGACTTATATTTCCATCTTCTGTTACAGTATTGATTCATAAGAAATATTGTTGCATTTAAAATTACTACATTTGTATGTGGGTATTTATTTGAAACAATGTCGAAGTACTGTATTATGTTTTATGTGCATTACCTTTTAGTGGTGGATTGGTCTCCATTTAACGTCATATGCATGTATTCTTGCCAAGTAACCTTTACACAGATGTGGAAAAAAAAAACGTTAAAGAGAAAATGTGGAAGCTTTTTAAAAGTATAACTGTGCGTTAATTGGATAACCTTAGGAGGCATAGAGGGCAAAACGTTACTTCCAAATTAATAAAGAAGTGTTTAATGTAGGAAAGCAATCTGCCTGTGTAAAGGTAGTCACATTGGCAGTATCAATAAAAGAGAAAAAGAATCGCGTTTTCTGCTTGTTGTTTTTGTGTTTTAAGAAGGCTTCATTTTAAT